TCTTCACTGCCTTTCGACGATGAAGGCTGGATGCTGCCAGTAGAAGAAGATGACAATAAGCTTCGAAGAACGGGCGATTCTAACACGCCTACTGCCCCTGCATGCTTAGGATCAGTAGAGGCCGAAGGTATTCCAAGCAATATTTCTGCTGGCTCCTACTCAACCATACGCATAGCGCACACAGGAATCCACCCTTCACCACGGCTAAATCAAAGCCGGGCAACTGCAGGTTGATGGCTCGAGGCGCCAAGACAACAGTCCTTCAGTGTATTTAGAGGCCCCACCTGAATTGCTTCCATGAGAGAGTCGCGGATTGATCTCGAGCTCGAAGCTGCCCCCCCATATATTTGGTCTTCGGTAGCGGCTTTCGCGCGAGATCCTTCCCCTTTCTGGCTGTCCCCTCTACTACCTAACAACATAGAAGGTTTCGTACCTAAGTCGATCAGGTCCAATGCCTTGTCCACAACCTCCGCATCGCCATTCAACAACCAATCATCTGGGCGGAGACCCACACTGCTCTGGCTGGGTTCCGACAGCACCGACTCGAAAACGCTCAACGGACGCATGGCGGGCGAGCCACTGCTATCCAGAGTAGACAGGTTCCCAGATGGTAGTGGAGGCGGCCTTCTGGACGTTCGCGTAGGCGCATGGTGGCTCTGCTGGCCTACATACATTTCTGCAGGCGTTGTATTTTCATTTTCCAATCTTGATGGTGTCCTATAGGCTATATCGTCATCAAGGAGCCACGAATCCTCCCCTAGCACAGGAACGCCTTCAGATAAGGTTAAATCAATAAGTGAATCGCGGTCCGGGTATAGTTGGGGGACCGATGGTCCAAGAAGGCTGTGATGAATCGGTGCCTCCAATTTCTGTACCTTGGCTCCACGCCCTACACCATCGGTTTCGCTTTCTTTTCTCTTTTCACCCCTCTTCTCTTCCGCTGGTCCTAGATGAGGTCTTGCTGCACGGTAAAGATCTTCGACAGGAGCAGCTGTAGCACCCATTAGCGACAGCGCTATACGATATGCAGTTTCCGACTCACCACTCCAAGATGCGGCAGGAAGAGCCTGCCCATGCGCGCTAGGGATACGACCCTCGCTAGGTTGCTCTGGGGAACCTGGAAAGGCCTCTACGTCCGTGTCACTGTGTGGGACGCACGGATCTGTCTCATTGTTTTCTTTGCCATCCTCGCCTCCGGCAAGTTTGCGCCCAAATAATCGAGTGGATAGCCTCCCTCGAACTGACAAGCTGCACAGGTAGGCAAGGAAGAGGACAGCTGACACTGCAGCAAGTACAGCAACTACTGGCAATCTTTTCCTGTGAGGCGCCGCATTGCAGGGTCTGTAGCCCGACCACGACGACGAGTCTTTTGCATCTTTCTCATGGGGTGCGGCAGGCACGTCTAAATACGGCTGGGAGGTGGTCTGGTGCCATGTAACTGGCTTCTCCTTCGGCAGCCAGCTAACCTCCATGGAGCCGGATGTAGAGACCTACATAAACTATATTGTCAAAATGTTGAGCCACTACTGCACACACAGTGGCTGACTAAGCATTTGGAAAAAGACTCAAGAAAAATTGAGGAGAATTCCAGATAACAAGAATCAACGAGGAAAACAGGACCGATGTTTCGAAAATACCATTCCTTTCGGAGACGAAGCTGTCCCCGGGGTTAATCAATGGGGGGGAGTAACAAAAAAAAACTTTGAGGTGATCCACAAATGCTGAAC